ATGACTGCAGTAATTTTTATTCATTGTAGTTAGGTGCTGTCAAGTAAGCCCCCAACTCATGGAAAACCACTTGCACAATGAGACTGGAACATTGTAATCAGCAGTGTTTTCATTGGCTGATTTTTAAAGTAGACTGACAGCCAGATCATAGCAACATGTAGACCTCCCTGACAGATGGGTAGTGGCTGTACTTGTAATGCAATGGCCATAGCAACAATCATAGCATACTAGCGTTAATTGTTTTGAAATCTATATAATGTTTATTGAAATAAAGTCCTGAATGGGCAATGTATACAATGTAGTTGATTAAAAGAAACACAAAAGGGAAAAAGATGAAATCTTCCTTCTATCTAGTGGCTCTCTCATCTTCTTTTCATAGGAAACCAAAACTACTAATTTCTTTTATGTGTTTCTAGAGTATTCTTAGAATATATAAGTATATACTGTACAGGTAACTCATTTTAAATACACATGACACAGGACTCTGCAGTTGTTTAAAATTTCAACTACTCTAAAAATACCATTTTCCTTGTAAATCCTATGTATTAAGACAATAATGGTGTGTGTGTGTGTGTGTGTGTGTGTGTGTGTTTAAAAGAAATAAAGGAGCAAACTGCTGGTGAAATATATCTTGGGACTAGATGGCAACTCAACAAAAACTATGTTTCAGGGCATGGCTAAAGAAACAATCTTTTTCATCTTTTTATTCCTTCCTAGTACAAAGTAATAAGCCAGAGTAAGTACTTAATAGATTTTTACTCAGTGAAACACCAGATATGAACGTATTATATACATAAAAGTAATGTTATAAAAGAAGGTTTAATGACCTGTGAAAATGCTCAAACTATGCTATTAAGAGAAAAACAAAGCTCTCACAAATGGTATGTAAAGATCTCTACTGCAAATGCGACATGATCTAGTAATTGTTTCCTGGCCTGATAAATAAGAAATTAAATAGCAAATTAACTTCCATATACAATGTATATTCATAGAAAATATGTCAACTTACACACTCAATATACTACAGTTCACATTTTAGTGACTCTATGGTCAAGAGTTTTGAAGGCATGTATATATTCAGAGGTGGCTGGAAGCAAACAGACAATGAAGAAATTTTTAAAAATTCATTGGACTAATTATAATTGGTACCATAAATCTAAGAATAAAAACATTTTGCTATTACAGAGCAAAGTAGTCATCTTCTTTTCAACAAACTATGATCTATTATAAACTTCAAAATTATCGCATTTGATAATGCAAGTGCAAAGAGAATAATAATGAATGAAAGTCTATTGTGGATGTAGCTGAAACCTGGAATCAAAACTCAAAAGAATGCTACGTCCCAGATTACTGAGGACCATCAAGCAATATAATGAAATAATGCTGACCGGCAGCTAATTATATCCAAGGGATTCAGGGATGTATGCGTGTATATACCGCTGTTGTTAAATACTGTCAAATCGGGTCCGACTCACAGTGACCCTGTACAGGAGCTGCTGGTGAGTCTGAACCGCTGACCCTGCAGTTCAAACAGACCTTAAGGTCGAGTGCTTATCCTATGGTACCACACGAGAACTCATTTAAAACTATACTTTTAAAACTAGCAAAATATGGAATAAAAATTGGGGTATGCTATGTTTAAATTCTTACTAAATTTTCATAAAGCTATTTTCAACTGTTCTTTTATGCTTACTACTGTAAGTTATTTGCAAAATGAATGAAAAATATAAAAAACTAAAAAGGTCCATTGGATCTAAGTGGTAA